TCAGATGGTTAGGCGCCCAAGAGACAGGCACCAGCTGGAAGCTTGAAGGTCTCGATGGCGAAGGGGAATAGTATGATCATAGGGGTCGTAGACAAGGAACCGTGTGTAGATGGACTTCTGCAGACACTTGGACTCGTAGCAGTCAGGCACCAGAGGACATGCATCGGCGGAAGTGAGACACTCTTCGATGCGTACGGTCTGAGTGAGAGTCTGATAATGGGCATCGATGTTATTTACAATGACACGCCATTTGTCTTCGGTGTTCTGTGCACGAAGGGGCCTGACGTAAGCGGTCTCTGATGGGCACAGTAAGTTTTCCCAGGGTGTTTGGTCGCTCCACAGACAACTCGGTGTTGAGTTGGGCCACGTCAGCATAGAGGGAGAGGAGCTTCTCGTAGTGGTGCTCGGCTGCGTGTTTGATCTCGTAGGTGGGATAGTGAGCGTCCTCGAGGCACCATGGTTTGGTTGTGTTGGCAGCACATGCTGGCACAGCAGGCTCGTGTTCATAGGAAGGCTGTGGATGATAAGCGGGAGCAGGGTGGTAGAAAGGTTGGGGTGAAAGAGGGTGTGGTGGTAGGCAGGTTGGTGGTGGTACGAAGGGCGCGCATGGTGAGAGGAGCTGTGATGGCTGACAGCAGGAGCGCCGCCGAGACTGATGCTTACGTGTGAGCTCTGGTCGGCCAGGACGGCGCCCGCCAAACAAAGCGAAACCTGCAACATAGGAAGATTTGCATATACATAAAACTTGTATAGAGTTCATTTATTGCATTTCCACACCTACACCTTCCTATATACATATGTATATGTATATATATGTATGCATCTAACTTTAAATGCTCATCAAAATAGACACTAATTGATAGATATGTACATGATACCACGTATGCATGTGATGTGGACACATGCACTTAGATACATATGTATACATATTTACATGTGTGCATTTTTGATGTGGTTCTTCGTGTTTTTTTTTATGTATATGTATATATACATATGTACATATACATACGCGCGAGATGCACACGCTCACACATATTTACACACACGCACATGCGCAATCATATTTATATACGCGCTTGTATATTTCTGTGTATACACATACATAAATACATATATTAGTATATATACGTATGTACGTATGTATATATGGTTGTCTGTGTGTAAGCGGTTATGCATGTACATTTCGTGTGTTGCGATTCTCTCTATATATAAACGGGATTGACATATATATGGATATACATATCTATACACAATATCACACACACACACGCACACACACACACACACACACACACACACACACACACACCACACAACATATATGTATATATATATATATATATATATATATATATATATATATGTGGTGTGTGTGTGTGTGTGTGTGTTGTTGTGTGTGTGTGTGTGTGTACACATACGTACAAAGCCATGTATATACATAAATATCTATATATATATATAATAACATATCAAAGATATGTATGCATGTATGTATGTATATTTATATGTGTATGTATACATATGCGTGTGTGTGTGAGTATGCATGTGTATTTTTTATATATAGAAATACGTCATCCTGAAAGGATATTTCCAAAGACAGACCTCGAACTCACCAAGTATCGTAAAGCCATGCTTGCACTCTCAGCTCTCGGCGCGTTCCAACTGTAGCGACCGTGATGATGGACCTCCTTTATATAGGGAGCAACCCCCCCTCCCTCCTCCCCTGGTCTCCCACAGAACAACTGAAAGGCGCAAATTGAATTTGATCAAAAGGTTTAAAATGCTTAATGCTTATGCGTTCCGTGCTTGGCCAGTGCTTTAAAACATTACATGTTACTCCACCGATGGTCACGCAAGTACGTAGCGCGGGAAGGAATATATGATATTGTTATTACGGACCGGAATTTAACTGTTCTACTTCTTATTGAGGAACAAATATTAAATTCCAGCGAGGTATCCAGGCAGCCAGCCCTCTCCACAAGTAAGTCATCGTTTCCACTTCACACAAACACAACACACACGCATCCTAGCTCTACATATACACATTTTAGAATATATGTGTATGTCATAGATATACTATGTGTGTGTAACACACTTATACATATGCACAGACACACACACACATACCACACACACACACACACACACACAAATATATATTATATATTATATATATATATAATTATATATACTCATACATTATATAGTATATATATAATATAATATATTGATATTTAACATATATAATATATACATACATATTATTTATTATTAATGTATGTATATAATATAAGCTACGTATATATATATATATATATATATAAACTATAAAGAACACATATAATATACATACATATATATATATATATATATATATATATGTATGTATATATATATATATAATATATAATGTAAAATTTATATAATTAATTATATATATATATATATATATATATATATATATATATATAATATATATGTTGTGTGTGTGTGTGTGTGTGTGTGTGTGTGTGTGTGTATACTCACACGAGTGTATATATGATATATAATATATATATATATATATATATATATATATATATATATAATTGAAATGTTTCTTTTTTCATCTTTGTGAGCAATAGTATTTGATTTCTGTGTATGGTCATTAAAATAGTGTGCATTCACATTTACACGAAACTCATTCACGCACACGACGAGGCTATGTGCGTGAGTGGTGCTTCATGTAGATTTTAAAGCAAATTTGATGTAACTGTCTTTGGTATTTTTTAAGCTATTTTTTTTTATAGGCTCTGTTGTCGGCAGCTTATCTGTGCCCTCGTGGATGTGTGCTAAAGTCATATCCATTAATGAAGCGTGAAAACTGTTGTAAAATCAAAGGGAACACGTTGCTTATTTTCTTAGTTCAGTCTTAAATAATAACATTCGTTGCCAGTAAATAGTACTTATTCTATACTCAGTATATTTTGTCACTGCAATTCCTAATTAGAATGATATAAAGATGACAATAGTGATAATTTTTCACAATATGATTTCAATTACCATAAACAGAAATCAGATTCTGTTTTTTTTTTTTATTAACCCTAGATAGGATATCTTCGTTTTGTTACGTTATAGAGATAGTCCAATTGTTTTAATTATGATCATGATCATATTATGACTTTAATCATTACATTTGCACACTCATTTTGAGGTGGTCTATTGCCCCCTCAAGCTCTGGCTCGCCACTACCCAGGCCACATTTCTACGATCTATTTTGCCTACACTACACCTTTATAGCTCCGGTCGTAGCTTATTATTATTATTGTTATTATTATTGTTATCATTATTATTATTATTTCATGATTGTGCTCAATCTTGCCCCCCCTTAAGAAAAAGCTAAAACGACGTCCCTCCTAGATGTCGCAAACTAGTTTGGTTTTGCTGTAATCGTTTTTCCTATAATTTGTGGTTGTGGCCATAGAGTGTTAGGTGTTGGTGTGTGAAGAGTGGCGATCCGTTGAGCAGCGTCGTAGTGGCGCATTAGGCGGGAAGATGGCAGGAGCAGGCCGAGGGCATCTTGTAGATGTCGATGAAGAGACCCTTGTAGGGGTCGCACGGATCGTAGGAGAGTAGTCGGTGGTACACTGACTTCTGGGTGCAGTGGCTCTGGTAGCAAGGGCGCGGCAAGCAGCTCTTGCTCCACAATCTGGGAGATCAGAGGCATTTTTTGTTCATGTTTGGGTAGTAGAGTGAGAGGAATCCATCGAGACCGATGCTGTCACTATCGGTCATGCTAAGGTATCCGAAAGTTTACTTTAATAATCATAGGGATGATAATGATAGCGAAATACGAATGACAGTGATAAAAGAATTGATTATAAGAACAACAATAATGAAAATGGTAATGATGAGGATAGTAATAATGATGATGATAATAACAATAATGGTAATGAATAATAACAACAATAATAATAATGATAATAACAATAATAATAACGATAATAAAGATAATACCAATTATAAAACTAATAGTAAAGGCAATGATAGTAATAATTATGATGGTAATAATGACAAAAATAATGATCATGATAATAATGATAAAAGTGATACTGATAATAATTGTAATAGATGATAAGAATTATATAATTGATAATGATACTTATGATAATGATAATATAATGATAATAATTGTAATAACTGTGACAATGATAATAATCATTATCAGTATCATGGTAATGATAATCATGATGATAACAAAAACGATGATAATAAGGACAACTAGTAAAAATAATGATAGCAATAACAATAAGAAAAATAATAACTATACTATTGATAATGATGATAATGATAATAGTTATAAAAATGAAAATGATGATAATAACAATAACGTGGACAGCGATATTAGTCATAACACTATAATAAGAATAACAATGATCATAAAAATGCTGTTCATAATAACTATAGGAAGAACAACAACAGCCATAATAATAATGATGATCACAACAGTAGTAATAACGACAGTAGTTATGATAATACTGACAGCAATTATAAAATTGGTGATAGTAGCAGTAATGATGATGATAATAATGATGATAACAATAATGATATGTGATAGAATGATAATAAAGATGATAACAAAACTAATAGTAAAGATAACTAATGATTATTGCGATGATAATGATTATGATAAAAATAATTACGATAATAATGATAATGATAACAAACATAATGTATTAAGATAATGATAATGATAGCTGATAATAATTGTAATGGTGATAACAATAATTATATTGATAATGATAATGATAACGATAATGATGATGATGATAACAATAATAATGGTAATGATCATAATAAAGAATATAATAATTACCATGACACATAATAATTATGAAAATGAATATTATTACTATTATGATGATGACAATGATAATGATTATAATATAATAATAATGATAATAATAATAATAATAATAATAATAATAATAATAATAATAATAACAATACTAATAATGATGATAATGACAACCGGAAAGGATAGTGATAGTGATGACGAAAATGATAGTAATAATAGAAATAACAATAATAATAAATATAATGATAATGATAATAAGGATAATCTTAATTATAATAATGATAATAATGATAATAAAAGTAATAATGATAACAATGATAATAATAATCAGTGATATTAGTAAAGACCATATAATAATATTAATAATGATTATGATAATGGTATTCATAAGAACAATGATAACAATAATGATAACAGTAATGATAATGATAATAATGATAATGATGACAATAATAATGATATTAATAATGGCAACGGTGATGATAATACTGATGATAGTAATAGCAATAACATTAATAATGATGATAATGATGGCACTAGTAGTAAAGATAATGGTGATGAAAATAATCATGATAATGAAAACAATAAGACCACTGAAGCAATAAAAATATTCACTTGAATTACATTAAAATCACCTCTTTCTTAAATACACTGGTGACGTCCGTGTTTCCCTCTCGCAATGCTAATGATTTTTTTTTTAAATTTTGGATCCGGATCATGATCCGGCTACCACCGTCTAAGTTAGAATCTCAGTTGGGCTAAGACACCTCTGGTAAAAATATCATGAGAATATGTTCATAATATTTGAATTATCCTACTAATCAACGAAAAAAAAACTAACCAACGGTGCTAAAAACATAACCTCGGCGGAAGTAATCATGATAATGACAATAGTGATAATGAGAACGATGATAATGATCATGATAGTAATTGTAATAACAATGATAATGATAATGAGACAACTACTAATAATGATGATAGTAATGGCAATAATAGTGATAATGATAACAATAATGATATAACCGTGATTATGAGAAATATAATGATAATGATAATAACAATAATGATAATGATACTTATAATGATGATAATAATACATATAACCATAAATGATAATATTAATGATAATAATGATAACAATAATGAAAATTGTAACAATAACGACAATGATATTAATTACTGATAGTAATGATAATGATTATAATAATGAAATAATGATGGGGAAGATGATAGTAATAATGGCAATGTTAACGATAACAGTAATGATAATAAATCGGGATCATAATATACGGTCGTGATGCGATTGAGCTCAAGAGTCCCGGGCGCCCTCCCCGTTGCCCGCTTTGCACTCGAGCCTGTTGAACGGCGTCCGAGGTCGCGCCAAAGCGGCCGCTCTCCTTCGGAGGAGCAGCAGAGCAGCTGACACGGCCGTCCGTGTCGGCGCTGTGCTGGGAACCACAGCGGCGGCCGGCCCTGGTCCTGTGAAAGCAGTCACGGCTCACCTGGAAGCCGCGATTGCGAAGGTGGTCCTCCACGAGGGACTCGTATCGAAGAAGCGGCCTGGCCCACCTGGGTTGGCCAAGATCGTCGGCGACGGTGGCCTTGGCCTCCAGGCTGCGGAGGGTGACGCGAGCGCGGCCTGGGGGGAGAGCAGCCCTGCGGAGAGAACCCGCCGTAGTAAACAAGGACGGCGAGGGGCCGTCGGCAGGACACCCACGCCGTGGGAGTTGGGACGAGATGACGCGGCGTGCGTGTCACGACACAAATGACTACGCACAGATAAAGAACAAAAAATAAACCAACTGAACTAATATCATAAATAA